CAAAACTACTTCATCTAAATAGGTACAACGCCGAACAGGAATCCATGTATATACGATATACATCCCACTACTGGGCACAGGCCTCCTTTCATTTCGGAGAGGGTTTTAGGGAAAGGCAACGTCCGCCGCGCTGCCTTAATTCGGGATGGCGAACTTTCCATATCTTGGAGATTTTTTTTCTTATTTCTCAGACATATAGGTTTCCTTCACCGCCGAGCACGTGGTGGTAAATCAGCACTTAAAAATCAGCAATTAACAATTTCATAAGTGCCGGCGGGGATCGAGCCAGAATGCTCGCCTACTGTGAAATTTACAGCGAACGCTTAGAGCTACCACGGCAATACATGTAAACAAACCTTAAATTGATTTATCCAGTTTAATAATGCAAAGATGCAGAACTTCTTATTGTTCACCAAGTAATCAATTAACTTACCTATAGACTGCCTCATAGGGAGGATATTTGCCATTGTTGCCACGCTTGGAAAAGGGGGTTGGCAACCGCGGTTTTTTATTTTTAGTCGTTATTAAGAAGACGCTGTTGTCCATCTCCTGATTTATTTCCCTGTGTTGCCTCTTACGACACCCACCGGATGATATTGGCTAGGGGATGTTTTTACACGCCACTACACGGTAATCAGCATTTGCTTAATTTAAGTCATAATTTAGCGTTTATTTAAAAAACGATGTTACTTATAAACATTAAAATTTAATAATTCTTTAAACTCAAATAAATAGCTGCCAAAATAAACTTCGGTTTTTCGATAAAAGCGAAGTTTACTTTAGAAATGAAGTTATGGTATAGATAATTAATATTATGTAGAGTAAGCGATAATAAACGATTATTTTAAGTAAGGTCGCAGATGCTTTGCTTAAGCACCCAATTAACAAAATGTGGAAGATATAACAGGTGATACCTACCTGCCGTGTTGTCAAAATGTACCCTACTCTTCGGCGAAAAAATAGATAATTTTGCATACGACTTGTGTCTATTTTATAACGATTTAATATAGTTAATATTTTACCTAACCGAGTTAGGTGCGCCAAATTTATATAAAGGATAAGTTTTTTGTCTTACAGGTAAAGCAATATGTGTTTACGACATTTTGCATTGATAAATTCTCAATTATTTTTGCAACTAAATCTGGCAAACAGATCTAATACCGAATTCAATTATTTAGTATCTATATTTTCACCATTAACCAATCACGATTATGAACCGTACACAATCTTATTACTTAATGATTTCTTATATTTACGTGAACACTACACATGATTAAAACTACTTTTACGGATTTTATCGCGTTTATTTTTGCTTTTAATTACCTTGATTTTTAATTCCCGACGTTTCGGGCGCTTTCCAGCACCCCCCCCCCCCGTGACCATGGGTGCTGGAAAGCGCCCGAAACGTCGGTAATTAAAAATAAAAGTAATTAAAAGCAAAAATAAACGCGATAAAATCCGTAAAAGTAGTTTTAATCAAATCTTATTACTTGTTATATTTAAATAATTAAATAATATAAATAAAGATCATTATCAATATAATCCTTTATCGGACTTGTAAACATAGGCTTCCCACAAGGAAAGGTACAGAGCCAGCTGTATCCATCGTCTTCCTGCACGTCGTACTAGATACGTAGGATCAACTGAGATGAGAGAGAACAAGTTATCATTAACACAAATATTAGTATTTAAATAAAATAATACACTGAAAAAGTAACATTACCGTCAGTAATTTCATTATAAAAATTTAGATAAATGATATTGACACTATACATACAACGTTTATATATACAACGTTTTTGGCCTTGGAAGGAAAAGGGGAGATTTCCCGTCGGGCAATTTGTTCAGCAGCGGCCAACACTCGGTGTAGTAGAACGAAGGTATACTATATACATACTATATAATATGTATGGAGTACTTCTGGGAGGACTGCGGCTACGGATACTGCAATAGCGTGAATTGTGACAGCAAAGCCGCCACATATTTTCGCATTGTGTTGGTTCAGTGGGGACATAGAAATATTTTCCGTGTCGTTTAACTAATTATAGCATAAGTAATGTATGTATATAAGTTAAAAAATAATGATTAAGTATAGTCTTAATAGTTTTTAGTTAAGTAGATTTAAGCGTTGTCGAACGATGTTTTATGAATAAGGCTGTAAATTCCAAGGAGTGTTGCAGTATTTATAAACACGATCAGACATAAATGTACAGTATTGTTAGTCTAAAACATAAATATGTGTGTAAAAATGTAAGTATGTCGTGGCAGCTACCAATCACTTAGGCCTTTGAGATACCTGAGTGGTATCGCTTCTCATTGTGTGTGACCCGGCGGTGAGTCCGTCGGTTCCTGGTGTGCTGCCGGCTGCCGCCTCCGTCTCCACGCAGCCCCCGCGCTGCCTGATTCCCTGCTATATAACACACCGGCATGTTTGCTCACCAATATCGATACATGTGCCAAATTTAAAGCCGGTGACGTTAAAGCACAACCTATATCACGCAATTGTATCATATAAATATGGGTCAAATGTCGTAAAAAAAGTGAAAAAGTATATAATAAAATTAAAATAAATCACATAACTATAAGGCTATGTAGCTATGTATTTAATGCAACCTTTTGTATATTCGTGAGGTTATGTATGTATGTAAAAGTACTGTTCTTTAGCACATATTTCAGAAACCGTTGGAATCGTATGCTTTTAAAAAACGTTTTCGTCAGATGTCACGCAGTGCGTGGTTATCAGACGGGATCATTGACCTTTGCAGCTGATAATGGCCGAGGTGAGGACGTTATCTGGTGGCGCAATGCAGGCCCGAAAACGCTCGACCTGAAACACGACGTTCGAGAGCAAAACGGATCAATAGCGAGCCGTTCAAATTGGGTGCGCACATAAACTGTTACACCTTCTGTTTCGAACCTTAAATACTTGGCAATTATAATAAATCTTTGCGGCACAGATATATTTATTTAAAAATGATCGTTTAGAACAAGGTATTGGCGTCGTTCTTTGAGAACCGGTTACACGAAAGCAAAATTTACCTAAGCCATTTGCAAGAGTTTTAGATCTAAGGATTTAACCATTAGGTTATTATTAGTAAAAAAAATTAAAAGCGATGCGAAAACGAAACGATTGATAACATTTTCATGACGTAATAAACATTTTGAGAAACTTGTACTTTAATATTTAAATGGATCAGGATTATTCATAATAATTATAATATTACTATCTTATATCATAAAAACGTATATAAAAATAATTTTATAGTAGTTAACCTGGAAAATCTCTGATGGCAATGTTGTTGTTACCTTTGGCCATAATAGGCTGTATGTTGTTTGTTGATATAAAAATATATGACGAGCGTATTGTTTCGAAACAATGAGCAAGGATAAAGTAAGATAGCGGATTCAGTGATAATGCGTAGCGGGAGGAATTATTTACGTTTTGACCGATAAGTAAACTTGGCGTATATAAAATTATAAACTGTTAATAAAAGACTTATATTAGGGTTTATTAAAATTGGCTTAATAATCCGGAGTTGGACCTTATTAAATCTTTTGAATTTATTAGTAATATTATTATTTAGAAATGGTATTCCCGCTTCACTCATCACTAAGATTCAACGAAACAACCGCCTGATACTTACCGATGCTCCTCACTTACGACTGCATCCGTTTGGTTTCTGTTACCGCGAAATGGTTAAACTGCCAATTAATTGTGCGAATTAAATGTTCTCACTATCATCAATTTTGCGAATAAAATGCAGCGAGCTAAACAATCTGTATTTATAACATTGATTTTTTATTGTTTACTATCGTTAATAATCAATCACTATTCGCTTTAATATACTTTTTAGTCAAATACAAGCCGATGGTCGTATGAAAGCACATTTAAAACAAGCGTCTTTATTTAAATCAATACATGATCTCTAAACTGGGTACACAATAGTCCATGTGTTTGCAAGCGGCTCGCAATGGAACAGTATCATGCATTAGACACGAGGATGATAAACAAATATGCGACATAACACCGCTCGCGTGGTCATGCCTTAACGACCATTAGAATATCATAAACACCTCATCACGTTTCACCTCGGCCAAGGTTCCTAAACACAGGTACGACTATGCAAAAACTTGTACCGCAAGCAAAAAAGCAGTTTCGCTTTAAATTGTGCCATGTAACTAGTGAAATATTACGTGCCAATACAACAGTATTGTACCATGGTGATAAAGTGTGGCTGACGTGCGTGTGGTCACCGACTAACTAAACCAAAATACACAATAATATAGTAACTAGAAATTATATAAAATAACGTATAAATCGAATGAACTGTAAATAAACTCGCAATCGAAGGGCGCTGGACAACTAGTTTTGCCGTTGCGGTGTTTAAATTAAATTGTATGTTTTTTTTTTCCTTAACAGCCCTGCGCGTACAAATTGAAGGCCGATCTTTTTATTATTGTTAGCGAACCTGAAGACTGTATCCGTAATTGTATAATAATCCCAACTTTTTTAAATTTGTGACTCAATACTGATAAAACTAATATGTAAATTTAACTTTCTTTATCGAGGTGAGGTCAAATTATCACAAATTGCCAATAATAAATTAAGGTTCATCGCACTCGCGCTCTAAATTCGACCTGTCGGGATCCAGATTCAAGATGGCCCCTCTTATTGACCCTTATTGCAGGACGGGACGCACGGTGCGCGAAGCGCGAGCAGTCCAATAGTTTCGCGAGTGTCCAGCGTCCATCGACGTCGATCAATTGACACTTGACCCCGGCGACGCATCTATTGCGACCTTGGACTCGTAAGTACTGGAGGGGACATCTACATTGGCATGTTACGTCACCAATTAAGTTCGATTAAAATTAGTTCAATTAAATTGCACAGCCAGTACTCGCGTGTCATGAAAGATACCTATTAAGTAAAGATTAGTTCAGGCAACAAGGTTAGCAGCAATTGCTTGGAGTTACATTGTTGCGTACGTGGAAAGACTTACCTTGTGGCTGTTGTTGAGCGATGTATGGGATAAGGAGGCGAGCACGTTTCTTTTCATAGCCTTTTTGTGTGATATCACCTGAAAAACAAACAGATCAGTAAATCAAGTGATTGCAGAGCATGGGCATGGCTAACGTTTAATTTTATTTCTAATTTCCACTATTGAAGTGTAAAATAATCTAGCGTCATCCATCAATAAATACAACAAAAAAAAAAACAAATATTCACGTAAATTATAACATTGAATAATCTTTGATTATTGTAACATTTAATGGGGTTTTAAAATACATAATATTATTGCATTGTCATCGAATTTACATAAGTATGTCAAATTTCGGCTCAAATAGATGTCAGCAATGCCTTGAAAATTGTTTACAAATTTTGATACAGAAATACATACATACATTTCAACTTATAATAAATAAATCACTTGTTTGTTTCTAAGTAAAATGTAACAATAACAAAATAATTGCAAGCGAGAATCTGAGCAATCTGTCATTATTTAATATCAAATAAATCAAATATAAATTATGTTAATCAATAAAAATCGAGCCATAATTAATTCAAATGAGGAGTTGAACCCTTGTCGGCCTTGGGTAAACTATTATAACGAGTAAAGAGATACGTGTTAAATAAAAACGTACAATAAAAACAACACTAGCTTATCTAGTCGAGCACGTTTACTATTCAAATACGAATGCAGGGCAAAAAGGATAAGGTAGCAGCGTACATTATTTCCGATTCAATTAATTTGTAATTGTTTCTTTAATATTTCTTACTAATATCTGCTAATGTTAAGTAGAAAGACAATTTTAAAATTCGCATTATTTTTTTGGTTACGAGCTCCGTCATCCACACTAGCACTACATTGGGTGTCGTTTAAGACTACATTTTTTACTTCTCGCTGAGAAAATTAAAAATTTTCAAAAATAAGAAAGTTTATTGGTTTCACCCCGATTTTCGAAAATCGAGTTTTCATCAAATCTCGACGTTTTGAGATCCCAGGAAGCTAGTCAGACTAATTTCACGTGGACGTCCGCACGGATGTATGTATGTATGTCTGTGTGTAATGTAAACCTTTCATAACTTTTGAGCTTCTTGATCGATTGAGATGCGGTTTGCGGCGTTCGAAAGATCTCAATGTGGAATAGTTTTGGTGATAATATGAACTGATTCATGGACGAGTAGATTTTGAGAAATCTCAAAATAAAATTTATGAAAAACTGTTTTTTTTTTAGAATATCTTTTAAATGGCTTTACCGATCGATTTCAAAAACTATACAACTCTTAACCTCAAAAAATGACGTCGAATTCCGCTTGGAAAATAAAAATCGGTATAAAAATCGGTACATTCATTCGTGAGATATCGAAGGAGAAAGGATTTGAAAAAAAAAACTTTTTTTTTAACATAGCTTCGAGATTTCGTAACATAATTTCGTGAAATTTGGAGCGCTTTGCATTTGCAATTAGCGGGAAGTTCCAGAGATGGCCTGCAGATTCAACAAATTTTTTTATAGGATAAGGGTGACAAGCACATAGTTCACCTGATCGTAAGTGGATGCTGTGGCCCATAGACATCTAGACTTTATCTCGATTAAGTTCCTTTGTTGTCACCACTGAGCACTAAGATTGAATGCCTCGATTCCAGTAAAACGGGTCTCCGGTTCTACACTCACCATACGAAACACAGCAGCATTAAGCTGCTGCTATTTTACGCTGATACTCGTACACCTATAATATAGCTGCAGCGTGGCTCCACCACGTATAAAACGCCACATATAATAGTGTTGCGCGGCTAAGTTGACATCTGGCACTAGCGCCATCTAGTGTCGGGTAACAGAGCGAAGAGAGAGCTTTCCAGAAAATGACATCACTAATCTTTCAACCGACAGCGCCATCTAGTATCGAATTGAAGAACTAAGCTTTCTGGAAGCCCCAAACTCGAACTTTCTGCGCTTGGTCGGTTGGCGCGTGTATTTACTCGAATATTCTGGAATATTCTAGATGTTTTCGTGGAAGAGCCGGGGTTTCGCGATCGGGGAAGTATTGAATTTGGCGAGACAAGCGAAGCTTCGGAACGGAATAAAGTGTATCAGTGTGATTAATTTTTAGTGTTTTAAGTTTTAATTAGTGTAAAGAAAATTAAAGTGTTAATTTAGGTATTTCTATCGGCAATTTTTATTGTCACGAACCTCAAGCTCGTAACAATAGATATTATGTACTGCAAATTTCGACATAATCAAGGAGTCTCGTAAACTACCAGCTGTACGATTCTTAAATCTGGTGGACATCGTGAATGGCTTCGAATGACATTTGACTTTTGGTTTCGTTGTATTGTTTAAATGTAGCAGTAACGATTATAAGCCACTATTTTTTTTTCTTATTTGAGGTTACAAAATATAATAATACGGAAAATATAACCCAGTTTCAGTGTGATTTTTGGCGGAAAACGATTTCCTGTAGGGTTACACAATCGTAGAGTAGGGACTAAAGCCTATAAATAAATATTTAAAGTTATAAGGAAAACGATTTCAATTTAAATTTCTATAGCCTCTAAGATGCCAAGATGATATACTTTATCATTTGACTTATTGAAGTTAGGCAAATAAACAAACAAGCTCGGAAAGTGACTAACATTACACTTTACTTCTTGAAATCTGCCACAACTGCGGGAAGACGTCAAAAAGCAAATGAGAGTGACTTGCCCAATATAAGAATCGCCACTGGTTCTCCACAACGCTCGTCCTCACACTGCACAACTCTGACTGGATAACTGGTTATCCAACGTATTCGTCAGACAGTGCTCTGACGTTTGGAGATGGGGTATTATTTAGAAGGATAAATTTAACCCCAACGAGTCGATGAAAAACCTTTGGAGTTTGTAGTTCTCTTAGCCAGTGTTACGATATAGAAGTATAAATGAACTTCAAATACATTAGTAAATAGCTCTACAGTGGTAGAGCTACGCAGCAGCCTTTTTTATAGAAGAGGGGGCAAACTAGCATACGGATCACCTGATGTTTAGTGACTACCGCAGCCCATGCCCAACCGCAACACTAGGGGAATTGCAGGTGCGTTGCCGGCACTTTAGAAACAAGTAAGCTATTTTCTTGAAGGTCCCCACGACGTATCGGTCCGGAAATATCCTACTGCCGCCTCGACAGGGGCAAACGGAGCAATAAGTCAAGGGCGCCCCCTGCCACACCATCCGTGGATTTCTGCAACATCAAGGGACTTCATTCAAACCTTAACGCCGTCCACTACCATCTGGAAACGGCGAAGCCGGCCCTGCTTTTTCTAACCGAGACACAGGTGTCTTCTCCGGCTGACACTTCATATCTCTCCTACCCGGGGTACAAATAAGAACACTCATTTCTGCCCCGGGCTGGAGTTTGCGTGTACGTCAGAGAGGACATCTGTTTTCGACGCCTCAGCAGCCTTGAAGGTACGCCCCTGTCCATCTTATGGCTACGCGTAGACACCGATGACCATCCCCGCGTCTACGGGTAATGCCGACACAGACCGACTGTTCGACCACGTCCAGATGGCTGCAGACTCCGTTCTACAACAGACCCATCCGCAGAGATTGTGATACTTGGTGATTTTAACGCCCACCATGCTGAATGGCTTGGTTCTCGTTTAACCGATCATGCTGCATGCATCTAATTATGACTTTGCTTTTGCCTTTTGTCAGACACAACTGGTTACCCCGCCTACGCGGATCCCAGATGTGGAATATCATGTACCTTCCCTGTTGGACCTTCTGCCGATCCCTCATCCGGACGGATATCAAGTCTCAATTGATACCCCTCCTGGCTCCTCGGACCAATGTCTGATACGGAGTAGGCACCCTACTCACGCTCCCACCGCGGTTGCATATTGCAAGCCATGCCGCCGTGTTTGGCACATAGAATACCATAATACACAATAGAATGGCTGTCAACGTTATTTTGTACGAGGCTTGGCGTCGCCAAACCCGATTCGCTGTGTTGACAGACTGAATAAGTTTACACATTTTAGACTTTTGATTAATGTTCAAGATCATCATTAAAAAAGTCGTTGAAATTTTAATACATATTTATTAGTACAGAGGCTGCACTAAAAGTATCCTGTCATATTAAAATCTTTTTAATTGAAAACTTCTTGGTTTTAGAAATCGAATACCATTTATTTATTTAAAAAAATATTCTTGGTCTTGTTACAAGGTTTTGTCAAACTTGTTTAGTCGTTGAGAAAATGGAATTGACTCGAGAAAATTCAAGAGCGATGATTTATTATGACTTTCGAAGTGGTTTAACACAAAAACAGTGTTTGATTATTTCTGCATTTGGTGAAGAAGCCCCATCCAAACCCACAATTTATCGCTGGTTTGCTAAATTTCAACGTGGACGTCAAGATCAGTGATGATCCCCGTCAAGGTCGTCCAAAAAGTCAGTCACCCAAGAAAATGTTGATGTTGTGCGTAAGCTGATTGAGGAAGATCGACATGTGACATACCGCGAAATTCAGGCAACTTTAGACATTGGCATGAGTCAAATACAAATAATCTTGCATGAACAATTAGGTGTAAAAAAGTTGTTTACCCGATGGATACCGCATTCGCTCTGTGAAAATCAAAAAGCGGCTCGCGTTACTTGGTGCATCAGAACTCTCGAAAGATTCCACGCAGGATCCTCAAATGCTGTATACAACATCGTATCAGGTGACGAATCCTGGATATATGCATACGAACCCGAAACAAAAAAACCAGTCACGAGTTTGGGTGTTCGAAAATGAGTTAAAACCAACAAAAATTGTTCGTTCACGGAGCGTCGCAAAAAAAATTGTGGCCACGTTTGTCTCCAAAACCGGCTATGTTACGACTATTCCTCTTGAGGGACAAAGAACGGTTAATGCAGAATGGTATGCTAACATTTTTTTGCCACAGGTCGTTTCTGAACTCCGTAAAGAGAACTGCCACCGCCGCATCATCCTCCATCACGACAATGCGAGTTCTCACACCACACACAGAACAAAAGAGTATTTAGAGCAAGAAAACATAGAATTATTAGACCATCCGCCGTACAGCCCCGACCTAAGCCCTAATGATTTCTATACTTTCCCTAAAGTAAAGTAGTAAAGTAAAATAAATCCCTAAAATAAAGAATAAATTGCGTGGACAGATTTTCATCACCTGAAGAAGCTGTGGACGCCTACAAAACGGCCATTTTGGAGACCCCAACTTCCGAATGGAATGGTTGCTTCAATGATTGGTTCCATCTTATGGAAAAATGTGTCAAATTTCGCGGAGAATACTTCTAAAAGCAATAAATACATTTTTAAATAGTAATGTTGTGTCACTTCCTTGATTCCCGAAATTTTCAGTGCCGCCCTCGTAAATAGGGTGCATTTTCTAGATAATTTGCATGCGAAATTTGGAAACGACTGTAACGTCAAAACACGTCTCGTGTTGACATTTATACGTGTGAATTGACGTGTTAGTCATTTTAGTGGCTACGCAGGCTTCGCCCACTCCCCCGTTCTATTATGTATGTATTATAGTATTCTATGGTTTGGCATTATAGGTCAGCCGATTGGGACGGGATGCGATCTTTTTTGCATTCTACCCTTGGAGCCGGGTTTGTTTCTCGCCGGATGATCCCAGCGTTGTTGCTGACTCTGTCGCTGATGTGGTGCTACAGGGAATGGAACTATTTATTCCATCATCTATAGTACCTATCGGAGGCAGAACCAAGTCTTGGTTTGCTCGCTCCTGCAAAATTGCATTACATCATAAGCAGGAGTGTTACCAGGCCTGGGCTCGCGCATCGACGTCTCGGGATGTAAATACCAGCGTTCTTAAAAAGAAGTAT